CAAGAAGTCAGTATTCCTTCTGGTATTACTATATGCCAGCCTTTTCTGGGTGGTTTGGGTTTTTTTTTTTTACCCGAGAAATGTGTGCTGCAAAATAGTTGCCCTTTGTTCTGTATGTGATGGGTACATATGAATAGTCATATAAATACTTCATAAATGTCTTGATTGGTTGTTATCTTCTCTCATGGGACTAATCTTTCTTGGAAGCGTTACATCAGAGGGGATGATGCCTTTTAATACTAATTTCATAAACTCTATTAAATGAGATTTCAAATCAATTCTTGAGGATCCAGTTCAGAGCTGGTAATAAGTCGCTGTGTCCACTCCAAAGTGTGTTAAAGTAACTGGAAGAATGCCAAATGACTTAAATGGCTTCTGCATCAGGGCTTTTATGAAGTGCAGCACTTTTTCCACTTCTGTATATAGTAGATCATTTTGATAACTGAATGTAAGGTCAGCTTGAGGCTTATCTTATTCCTGCCTCCTGAATCTACAGCATCTTGGTTCTTCCAGGGCTGTGGAGTAAGAATTGAAGTCTCATTGCTAAATGGCTCTGCCTTAGAGGAACTAGACTCTTGCTGACCAATATTACTTTTTTAACACTTAGTGGTGTCCATTGAACCTTTTGTGACTAGCAACTTGAAAAGCGTTGTACTAGATATTCAGTATCTTCATTAACATTGAGAATAATTAGTCAAGTTCCCTTTTAAGGTTAAACTTACTACACAAATACCCAGTTGTCTGTTTCCTCCTCCTGTGTTTCTGTCTTTAACATTGTTTTCATTTATGCTCCGAAGTAAGCACATGCTGGCCAATCCCCTCTGTTCTCAGCACCCTCAGGGATGGGCAGAAGAGGTCTTCAAAAGATTTCACAGCGCTAAGAACGCCGACAAGTCTAATTTTACTCTGCATATGCCTCCTCCATCTGCCTCTTCTTGCTTATCTGAGGTTTTGCAGGCAAGCTACACAGCATTGCACCTACTTTTGTTTGGGTTTCTTTTTTTTTTTTAAGACCAAAGCTCTCTCATCTGACCTTTTTCAGGACAGCGGATTCTCATCAGTAGTGGAGTCAAGCAGGACACATTTCTACTGTGCTTTTTCAAATAAAACAATTAAGGCTGAAACACACGTAGCTTCCCAAAAGAACTGATGGGCTCTAGCCAGCAATGAACAGAGATTGCACTAAGACCGTTACAATGGGCACCTGGGCAAAAAGGCTCTGTACTATTACATTTCAGTATAAACTTAGTAGAGCTGTTTCCAAGGAAAATGCTGAAGCACGTACCCAAAAGTTATCAGACAATTTCACCGTATATACTGCATGTATTTCATTTAACTTCAGCGACAGAGGAAGGAAGAAAAACTCCCTGACAGAACAAGCATCATCATGAAGACTGCAGTCTAAAAAGGCTCATGCAAAGCATCCCAGCAGAGTTCTCTAACCAAAGTAAGCAACTTGACACAAGAGTAACCACACCACGGCTTTCCACACTACTTCCACCTGCAAACCAAGATCAGCCATTTGTTCTTACTGCGCTCCACGCGTGGTGATCAGCTTTCCTAGAACAGCAGGGCAACTACTAAGTAGAGCTCAAGACTAGTTACTTAAGTGGAAGACTTAAATACGCACTTAAGATTAGATATCTTCACTATTACTGAAGATCCACCACTTTACTACCAACAAACTTGCTTTATGCATTTGGCTTTGTATTTACTTAAAGTTTCTCAACTGTTTTAGTAGTGTAGTAGCTGGATTAATGATGCCTCTAGGATGAGGTCTAATTTGGTCCTAGCGTGAATACAAATTAACCTATGACCAGACTTTCAAGTCTAAAGGAGAAATTTCTAACTCTACAAGATACGTAACAATCACAGGCCAAAAGATCAGCACGAAGAGCAAGGGGCCAAGCTACATTCTCATACAAATGGTATTTAAAGCCAAGTTAATCAGTTAAATTAATCAATTTATATTGAACTTCAGGCTTGATGTAAAGCTGAAACAAAGAACCCAGGAGTTAATGGCGAGTCAGAGGTCAAAAGTACGCAGTTACTAAAGTAACAACCGTTGGCCCATTTTATACAGGGCCACCAAGAAAAATAGTGTTGCTTGGTATTACCAGCATGCACTGTTTTTGCCCTTGTTTTACAATCTCTGTGCAGTCAAATCCCTGATATTGGAAGTTTTTAGATCAGTAAAATACTCTTCCTCATATAAGCAATAAAAATGAGCTGACACAAGAACGTTTTGTTGGTCTAAATATTACACCAGTATACCACTTTTAAAATGGAAAAGTTTTAAAAATACACATTTATGTTCAGCGTTACTATACCTACCAAATATCGGTGACTGCGCTGAGCAGTACGGCATAGCCTCTTCATTAGGAGCTTGGGTGAACAAGCTGAGGTTCGTGTACACATCATGAGTTTTTGAATAATCCAGAATCTGACGCGAGTCTAAAAACCCACGAAACACATTTGAAGGTCCACCTCGGTACAATATCAGGATAAATATTGCTTGGAAGACGAACAGAAAGAGCAGAAAACAGGAATTTTCGACACGAGAGAGGGTCATAGTGTTTAGCCCATGCTCTGCAAATCAGACCAGTGAGGAGGAGTTTAACCGCCTTCAGCCACCTGCCGTTCTGCCTTCAGGGCTACATCGCCTGTGCACAGGAGACGACGACCTCTTCCTCTTCCTCCTCCTCCTCCTCCTCCTCCTCTTCAAACTTTCTGAGGCGGCAGCGCGCTCCTCCAGCGCGGCTCCGTCAGGCCCTTTGAGCCCAACCGCCCCTTCCCGCCACAAGCTCTGGCGAGGCGGAATGAAGGGGAGAAAAACCCGTTCAAGGCCGCTCTCCCACACACACCCTGACGCCTCCTTCCCTCCGCGGGACTGACCCTCTGGGGCAGGTTCGCCGGTAACCGTTCCTCTCCACCACCCCGTCCTCACTTCCCGGCGGCCCGGCCCGGCCCGGCCGTTCCCGCCCACCCGTCACGCGACTGCCTCTGTGGCCACGCCCCTCTCCCCCGAGGGCCGTGACT